AGGAGAGGCAGCACTGCCCGTGGGGGGCTGGGGGCACTGGCCCATGGTTGGAGGGAGCTCCACATAGCCCTCGAACCCTGGCTTCCCGGGGCCTGGGGCTCCAAGGGGCCCATCTGGTGGCCTAGGACAGACACTGGGGTTCTGGACTAAGGGGGGGGGCTCAGAGGCAGAGCCGGAGAGACAGATGGGGTCCCCGTGGGCAGGGCGAGAGCCAGGTCTGCCGTGGTGACATAGGCAGAGGCCACACCAGCGTCCTCAGGGTCTCCAGAGCTCATGGGCAGCGCCGCTGGGCTGTGCTTTGGGTCCTGTTCACCCACCCCTAGCCCAGGGGCAGGAGGGGCAGGGCCGCCCCTGGACTCCAGGGAGGGGGTCTCCTGGGCCGCAGGGCTGCGCTGGCCCTGCCCGTCCACAGCCTGGCCCTGCCCCATCACCTGGGCCAGGGGGACCAGCTGCACCTGTCCCCCAGGGGGCAGGCACAGGTACTCCAGGGAGCCCGTGAGCACTGGCTCCTGGCTCTGGGGAGGCGCCGGCTGGCCCTGGATGTCAGGCAGGGAGCGGCTGTGGGGGGGCCCCAGGTAGGGGCCATTCAAGTCGAAGCTGGGCAGCCGGTTCTCAGCCCTGCCTGAGGGGGCTGCTGGGCCCGGCTGGGGGCCGCGGGGTGTCTCCGTGGGCAGCCCCGAGGCAGCTGGGGTTGTATCGGGCCCAGATGGTGGATGGCAGGACACTTGAGGGTCCTCTATGGTGAGAGGTGACACCTTGCTGTTCCCAAAATCTGGGGAAGGCCACCTGTGGGAGAACAGAAAAGGACACTAATGGGACCTCTGAAGGACATGGTGGGGCTGGGGAATAGCAGGGCTTCAAGTAGGCAGGAGGGCCTGGGAGAAGACCAGAGGCCCCCCACCCCTTCCCCAGAGGGAGGCCCTCCGCACCTCACCTGCTCCCTTCCCACTCCCCCGCCAACCCTTCTGGGTGCCACATCATGGCCCCTCAGCACCCAGCTGACCTCCCGCCCTTCAGCTGGGCCAAGGTCACAAAGTCAGGCCTTGGCCATTTTCCTATTCCAACCCTGGGCTCTGGCCACACGGAGCAGGGTCTCAGCTTGCTCACTGGGCTCCCCGTCACCCACTCCGGGCCTTCCCCCCGCGCTCTCTGCACTTGCGCCTGAGTGACCTGTGCTCATGCACCCCCCGACCCGGGGCAGGAGGCAGCCGTTTATATCCACACCCTGACCCTTGAGTCCCTAGAGGGACCGACCACCCCTCCTTCACAGCTACCGCCCCAGGCCTGGCCGGCAGCAGCTCTCTGAGAGTGGCCTCCTTTTCTCTCCCCTATTGTCACCTCCTGAAGGGAGGCGTCCCTCTGTGAGGACAGACTTTCACAGGGAAGGACCAGTGGCCTCATTGGAGCCTCCCTCCAGGTCTGTAAGGTGGAGAGGAGACGCCCAAGCTCCCCTCCACTTGGGACCAAAGGAAGGGACGCAGTGCCCCAGCCGGCCAGCCCTGCGATTCAGACACCAGAACCCGGCTCCGGCAGGTGTGTGGAGTCGGGGAGGCTGCAGACCTGGCCACCCCGAGGCTGGGGCCTCCTGAGTGTCTACTGACCTGTAGCCAAGGGGCCAGAGCAGACGGATGGGCCCTCAGAGGCCAGGAAAGGGGGTCCAAAGCCACCCTTTGCCTTGCCCTGAGCTTTCCCCAGGGGACCTGTTGGCTTTGCAACCAATTAGGAAACAAAATCCTTGGAAAGGAATGAAGACTGCACATGCCGTGCCCACTGCTGACCCCCACTGCTGACCTCCTCACTGGCACTGGAAGAGCCCCGTCCTGGCAAACCTTCCGACAGCTCTGCAGGTCTGAGGAAGGCCCGCAGCTTGCCCCTGACCTTAGCCTTGACCATGGAGAGAAGCTTGAAGGTGCCCGCCTGCCAGGGTCCACGCAGGGAGGTGTTGGGGGTCTGGGGGACACTCACCTGAACCTGCAACCAGGACCCACCCACCCAGGGGCCTGGAGCCTCGGTGACAGAGGAGGAGATGTTGAAAGCAGGGGACAGTAAGCCGTTCAGTCGGCACAGTGCTAAGACCGGCTGTGGGAAGACTAGGCCTCGATTCCACTCAGAAGAGTGGGCATCCGTGTCCTCAGTGGACAGTGACAGCCCATGAGCACACGCCTGGCTCAGGCCCAGGGGCTTCTGGGAAAAGGACGGCTGCTGCTGTCTGCAGAATGTCATAGACTGTCCCAGTGACCCTACAAGCTGGACACTCTCATAGCCACCCTGCAGATAAATTAATACCGTCGTGAGTTGATACTGTCACAGATTGGTTAACTCGGGGACAATGAATAACCAGGACTTGAGTGACAAACCTCAGCTTCCAGGGAGAAGGAGTTATGTGCGGTGTCCTTGCCTGCCACCACTCCCTGAGCAGTGACACAACACTCTGGAGGACACCAGTGGAGCTCAGGGCGGGTGTGCCCAGGGCGGGAAGTACTGGCCACCTCCCAGTGAGGGCAAGGCCCGGACCCTCTGAGGCCTGGCTTGGCAGCCCGGTCACAGCCCTGCTCAGAGGCACTGTCACCACCCTCCCTCCCTCTGTGGGTCCTCACAAGACAACGAGGTTGGTGTCGTTGCCCACTTGAGGTGGAAGAAACGGTCAGTCAGGACCTGCCCAGCCGGGAGGGAGAGGCCCGGGCAGGAAGGACCTCGGGAGGAAAGACCCTCACGGCCAGGAAGGACCTGCGCATGTGACCCGGGCTGCCCACTGTGGCCCCACGTGCCAGCAGGCAAGGAGGTGCTTGGCCTCCCTGAACCCAGGTCCCGCTGCTGATCACCAGGAAGTCACACACTAGCCCTGGTCACCACCCCACACCAGTGCCCTGGGGACCAGAAGTAAGCCTGGCTGATGACAAGCCCTTGTTATCATCACTGATCACAGGGCGAGTCCTCCACACCACCATCAAGGGCATCAGGCCCCAGACCTGGGGACTCACAAGTCAGGTCCCAGGCAGGGGACCCGAGAAACAGCATATGGAGGGTCCCCAAAGGAACCTGCATATTACAGAGGCCCCTGCCAGTGGCTGAGAGAGTCTGTGGTGTGGCACGTCCCTGGACAGGAGGGCAGGAGAGGTCATCGGCTCCAGGGCCCTGCCTCGCTCTGGCCTCTAACCTGGCAGTCAGGAAGTTCTGCCTGATGTCCACCTGGGTGCCTCCTGCTTCAGTGAACTCACCTCTGTGGGTCACTTCACAGTGAGCCCAGGACACCGCCTGAGACTCCTGACACACACTATGCACTGTCCCAACCGGATCCCCAGAGGCCCAGAGCCACCGCAGAGCCACACACTCACCTCTCCAGCTCAGGAAATTGGCTGTCCCAGGGCCCCTGGGCAGGCGGGCTCCTGCTGGGGGCAGCCCACAGGCTGGGTGGGGGCCCGAGGCCTGCACCCCCGTTCTGGAAGGGAAAGGACAGGGTGCCTGTGGGTGGGGGTGGGCTGCAGGACAGTGAGGGGAAGGGCCCTCGGTGAGCCCAGACCTGGGGGGACCTGCAGGTGGTCAGGACGGCCCCGGCCCTGGCACCAGGAGAGGGTGGCCCAGGGGGCTGTGAGTCTCCAGGTGCCAAGCTCCCGGGGACGGGGGGCCTGTTCCCAGGCTCCTCTCACCTGGGCGTCCCCCACTCTCCCTGTCCTCCCGCACTCTGCACGAGGCCCCCACAGCAGAGCTGCCCTGTGACCTGACCACAGGGCTCCGGGCGCCAGGCACCGTGTCCCCAGGTGGTCGCCCCCTGGGAAGCCCAGCTTCATGCCCCCCCAGCACCCTCACCTGGGGCCTGTCTCCAGGGCAGGGCTGCTGTCCCTGCAGGTGTCCAGGGGCAGCTCCCTGCTGGCCAGGCCCCCCAGGTGCTCAGGCCCGGCCCACCCACACCCTCTATGGCCCCCCACGGGAAGGGGAGGGAGGTGGCCGCACAGGGACAGGGGACACGGCAGCAGAGGAAGCCCCTCCCAGCCAGACCTACCTGGAACAGGTGGCTCTTGCCAGGGTTGGGGATCTTCTCCTTCCACTTCCTGTTCAGCCTGCAACAGCCACCAGGGAGGGGACAGTTGCCAGACACCTCAGGGCCAGTGGCTCCCGTGCCCAGGAACAGAGGGGACACTGAGGCTGGGGCGGGGGGAGATGGCAGAGCGGGAGCTGCAGGGAGCCAGGCTCTGCCCTGGGTGGCCCTGGGTCCTGGTCACCCACCCCACATGGAGGGCCCTCACCTGTACCCGTAGACGCCACAGAAGCGCAGTGCCAGGAGCAGGAGCAGGGTGACCAGGACGAGGACGATCGGCAGCACCCACATGGGCAGCACTGCCGGCAGAGGACAGGGACACTCAGGGTGGGGAGGGAAGGCTGCAGGCTCGGGGGGACCGGTGACCCCCAAGGCCCTGCTGGTCAGGAGGGGGCTGCGGAGGCTCCCTGCATGGGGTGGGTGGGGGAGGCCAGACCCCCAGGAAGAGGAGGCTGGGTGTGAGCCCCAGCCCTGCTCAGGTGTCAGGGTGCCCAGGGTCTCGGGGCCTTGCCCACACCAGGGCTGCTGGGGGGGGCACTCCCTGGACTTGGACATCCAGGTACCAGGAGGATCTGAGAGGTGCAGAGGGGAGCGGGCAGCTGGCCGGGGGGCAGCAAAGGCCCCAGGAGACTCCGCAGTTCCCGCTCTAGACCCCTCTCCTCTCCCTGGCCTCCTGCCTCCACCACGCCGCCCGAGCATGGGCCCTGGCTCTGTGCCTTGGGCTGAGGAGAGGCCGAGCATCATGGCAGAAATGTGTGGCAGAGAAAAGCCGCTCGGCTCCTGGCAGCCAGGAAGCAGAGGGAGAAGGGAAGAGAGGAAGGGGCCAGGCCCAGGAAATACCCGCAGGGCACCCACTTCCAGTGCCCGGTGACCTGCTTCCTCCAAGTGGCTCCCACCTCCTGCAGCTTCCCTCACCTCCCACAGCCCACTCACATCATCCATCAAGTGGATTAATCCATGGATGCTGTTAGAGTCCTCACAACCCCATCAGTTCACCGAAGCCCCCCCTCCGGGCACTGCTGCTCTGGAGACCAAGCCTGCAATCCAGGAGGCTCTGGGGGACACTCCCCACCTAAATCACAGCATTCAACCCCTGCAGAATGGACTCCATGTTCAAAGTTCCAGCATGGATCAAAAGTCTCTCCAGAGTCTAGGCCAACCCTCAACTGTGAGCAACTGTAAAACTTAAAAAGCAAGTTACACGCCCTCCGTACAAGGGGGCCGATTCAGCCTTCCCATTCCACAATGGAGGAAATAGGGGCAGAGAAAGATGGACTGCGCCCAAAGCAAGGTGGAACCCTGCAGGTCCACATCCATCCTGAGCTCCACGTCTGTTATCTGGGCACACGGTGTGAGACGTGGGCCCCACGGTTTTAAATTTAGCCTCATAGAAAGTCTCAGGATGTGGACAAAATGTAGACGGTTCTTCACCAAGAGATACAGAGAGGCTCATGGCCTCTCGTCAGTTCCCAGTGGAGTCCTCATTCTCACGTGCAACCTCATGAGCACAGTCTTTACTGTCCCTGTTCCTGACAACATTCTGGTCCTCCAAGATCACGTCGGAAAGGTCCACTGAAGTCTGCTGACAACATCCTAAGATTTCCGCTGCCTGCGTCTCCTCCTGTAAATCAGTGTCAAAGGCTCCTAGACCACGTGGCCATATATATTCACAGCAAGGGTCCCACTTCTCAGGACCAATGTCGACTTTATTAGTCACTTTTCGTCACTGTGGCCAACATACCTGACACAGACAACTTAAGAAGAGGACGATTTTACTTTAGCACACGGTTCAGAGCTCATAGCCCATGGGCTGACGGCTCCAGGGTCTTGGGCCTGAGGAGAGGCAGAACTCACGGCAGAAGGGTGTGGCAGAGAAAAGTCGCTCAGCTCCAAGCAGACAGGAAGCAGAGGGAGAAGGAAGAAATACCCTCCCAGGGCACCCTCCAGTGCCCTCGGTGACCTACTGCCTCACTTCCTCCAGTTGCCTTCACCTCTCCACAGTCCACTGAGATTACCAATCCATCAGATAGTAATGAAGTTAGAGTCCTCACAGTCCAAGCGCCACCTCTGGGCATTGCTACTCCGGGGACCAAGCAGAGAATTTGGGGGACATAACCATAATAGTCACCATGAGAAAGGTTAGGGGCAAATTAAAGCGACAAGTGTAGAGAAGAGACAACACTGAATCTTCAGAACAAAAGTTTCCAATCCTAGATCCCAGTCTCTAGCACCTGAGTGTTCACTGCCATGGTAACAGGAAACCAGACTGATCACCGCGGGGCAGAGGCTGCCGCAAAGGCCAGTGAAATCAGGGGCTGAATCAATAGAGGTAGAAGCCCTATTTGAAGGAGGTGTGATAAGGAGACCTACTCTCCTCTGCTCTCTCAAGTCCTCACCTGCCGTGTGTGGCAGGCCAGGTGTCACTTCCAGGGATTGGTGATACATTAGGAGGAAGGAGTTCGGGTGGAGTGGGGGTCTGGAGCCTCCCTGCCCACGCCTCCTGTGTCCTCTGCCTAATGGGCTGACCCAGGAGGGGCAGGTGGGCCCTGGACATACCCCAGTCTGTGGTCCAGGAGGCAGCCTCACTCCACTCGCTCCAGATGCCGTTGTAGACGCCGGGGGTGGGCCTGACCCTCACCCTGGCCCAGTACCGGGTGGAGGGCTCCAGAGCGGGCAGGGCCATGCTGTGGGCGTTCTGCAGGGTCTCTCTCTTGCTGTCCTGTGGGGGCAGGTGGCTGAGGTGGAGGCGCTGGCAAGGTGGGGGCCACAGCAGCACACCCCTCCCGCCCCAGCCCCGCCCCCTTCCTCCTCTCCGTCCCATGGAGCCACGTGCAGCCCTGCACGGCCTCCTGCCCCCCGGACCCTGCTCCAGCGTCCACTGTAGCACAGCGGTCCACCAGGGCCGGACCCTGCCCTCAGCCCTGGGGGAGCACCAGGCCCAGGCCCTGGGGACCTCCTGGCCCACCCCTGGAGACGCCCAGCCCACAGGTGGTCATTATGGCTGCTCCAGGAACACAGTGCAACAGGCCAGTCTAGCCCTGAGGCGGGCGCTCAGGAGTCTGGAACCTTCTCCTGGCTCCACCATCCCAGCGTGTCGGCCGGCCCTGGGGGTCTCAGCCCCGCTGCATCCCAGTGGGCTCTCAGGGGACCTCGCCCTTCACCTCTGAGCCTCAGCTCCTTCACCTGCTGACCACACAGGGGCACGGCCCCCACAGCCCAGTGGTGACCTCTGCCTGGTCCCCTGCTGGGCCCAGGTGCATCTGGGCTCCTTGGGGTGCTCTTCCCTCTGCTGCCGCCCCATGAAGCCCTCCTCGGGTGCAGGCTCACCCCCCAGTTCTCTGCGTCCCTCCGGTACTGGACCTCGAAGGTCTGTCCGAGGTGTGTGTAGTACATTTTCTCCACTTGCCATCGCAGGCTGTAGCTGTCTCCGTCTTTGGTCACTTTGAGGGTTGGGCGCTCCATCTGGACTGGGGGAGGGAGACTTTTAGGGGTGGCCGTGACCCGGCCCCTCACCAGAACATTCCCGTGGTTCAGGATGGCCATTCTGCGTGTTGTCCTCCCCAGCCGAGGCCCCAGGTCCCAGCCATGGGGGCCTTTGTGTTGCCTCGCGTCACCATTCCCCTGGGGACGCCCAGCCTGACTCCCGGTGTGCAGAGGCCCACAGCCTGGCCTCCTCCCCGTGCTCGGCGTCACCACACGGCCACCTCGGTCAGCTCTGGCCTGGCCCAGGCGCCAGGCCCCGTGCCCAGCCACGCACCTGGGGTTGCCCACGACAGGCATCTCTGCAGTGGAACGGCAGAGATCAGACCTGATATGTGACGCCGCAGCCCTTGGCCCCCCTGTCCCCACGCTGCTCCAGAGACTCTCAGAGCTGCTCTGAGACCTGCTCTACTCTGGGCTCTGGTCCCTTGCGCCCCAGAGGGTAGGGACAAGTCTGAAGCCAGCAGCAGCTCACAAGCTCTCCCCTGCAGAGTCAGCCCACATTAGCTGCAAGGACCTTGGATGACATCTAGGGGACCCTGTCTCCAACCACATTGTGGCTAAACAGAAAGGTGAAGCCCATTTGGGACAGCGCCTCCCACGGCCAGGAGACCACAAGTTAGGAAACTCAAAGGACAGAGAAAGCAGAAACTAGGTGTTGACTCAGGAGTTCTATGTTTCAGCCTCAATTTGCCTCCTGCTAGCTGTGCGACGTTAAGTAAGTTACTCGACCACTCTGAACTTCAGTCTATCAATCAGAAAGAAATACAAATAGAGAATGCTCATCACCTGATGACTCTGTGGGGCTTTTACAAAAACAACGTGAATGTCTCCATGTTGCTAAATTATCCCATGGACCAAGGTCACTCTAAGTCCTTTATATATTTTGTGCACTTGAACCATAGGAGTCCCTTGGTGCAGGGGCAACCCCCAGAGAGCAGGTGGTGGATTTAAACCCAGGTGACAAAGACAAACTAGCTCCTGCCTTTGTCAGGCCTGAAGAGTCGATGGAAAGCCAGGCACAACGGCACAGGCCTGCAGTCCTAGTGACCTGGGAGGCTGAAGCAGGAGGATCACAGGTTCAAGGCCAGCCTCAGAAAGTTAGTGAGGCCCTAAGCAACTTAGAAAGACCCTGTCCCAAAGAACACCAAGGGCTGGGGAGGTGGCTCAGTGGTAAAGTGCCCCTGGGTTCAACCCCTGGTTACAAATATAGAAAATAAACGAACTCGGCCATCATGTGGAGCGGACCCTTGCATGGAGGTCCCTGCTACGTCACAGAAATGAGTGACATCCACCTGCCAGATCCCAGTCCTTCTGCACAAACTCGAACCCCGAATGGAAACGGAAATCACAGATCACGATTTAGAAGACTTAATCAGTCAGAGGAGAACTTGGAAATTATCAGGTCAAAACTCCAATCCCGATCTGGAAGGGGGATTTGGGGTGGGGAGCAGAGGGGGACTGAGGGGGCCAGGAGAGGAGAGAGCTGGGCACCAGGGGCCTGGCTGACGGAGCAGAGCACTTTTGGCCACTGGACCCCATTCCCTCTCAAGGGAGAACCGCAGGCCGGGGCAGGGGTACCATGCACGTGCCCAGGGGTCACGGTGGGGTAACTGGATTCACGGGGAGGACCAGCCGGCAGGCACCCCAACTCACTGTTGTCCGAGCTCTTGATGAACCTCCCCTCCCTCCGCGGACGGACAGAGACGACGTACAGGCCGCGGGCCCCGGGGTCGGGCACCGGGATCTGGCACCGGAGCTGGGTGTACAGGCCGCTGAGCTCCTCCTTCAACACCGGGGCACATTCCTCCTCCCTGAGGGCAGGGACAGGGAGGGACACAGGAGGGACCACGGGACAGCTGAGACCTGGGCTGAGTCCCAGCGTCCACCATGCCCCAGGGACAGGAGGAGGCCTGGCCAGGGCAAGGCCAGAGCAGGGAAGGCCGGAGAGGGGACGGACACTCACTGTGCCTCTGGGCTGGACGCGTAGAAGAGGCCGAAGGAGACGGAGCTGGTCACGGGGGACCTGACCTCCCAGGAGCAGCCCAGGGTGTGGGCCCCGTCGAAGACACACTGCAGGTTCCGGGGCTGGGCCTCGTCCCCTGGAGGGACACACCCCTCGGTCACTGCCCTTCCTCCCTCCAGAGCTCTGGGGACACCAGGTGACTAAGCACAGGGGACCCCAGCTTTGGGGCAGCAAGTGCGGGCTTGAGCCTTGGCCTGCAGCTGCCAGGTGCCCACAGCCCAGAGGCCGTGGGACGTCCACCCATCCCTGAGGCAGGGACGGGCTCCAAGCCTCCTCGTGTGGGGACTGGACACAGAGACGGGGCCAGTCCTGCACGTGGTGCTCATTTACACACAGCGACCAGCAAGCCTGCTGTGACCATGACGTCGTGGTTGTCACAGAGAGTGCAGGACACGGAGCCCGCAGGGGCCATGACGGCCTGGCAGCCGCCCAGCACATGGGTTGGCCCCGGAGGCCCAGGACATGCAGCCGCAGGTGCCCGCAAGGCCACGAGTGGACTCCTGGGCCCCGAGTGCCCGGGAGACCCGTCCTAGAAGGACACCTCCCACGTGGACCCCAGTACCTGGCTGCGAGTCCCAGAGGATCTCGGGGCTCCAGCGGCTGGGCCGTCCCGAGAAGCGCGAGCTGGGGGCCAGCCGCGTCCGCACTCGGGCCACGTAGGTGCTGCCGGGCACGAGGAGCTCTGCGCCCAGGACGGCCGGGGAGGACCGGGAGTAGAGGCTGGTGGCCTCCTGAGGGAGAGAGGGGCGCTGCAGGAAGGGCCAGCCTGGCGTCCCCCGGCACGGGCAGAGCTGACCCCATCCTACCTCCCAGGAGTCGCTAAGCCGCCTGTAGACCACCTCGAACTCCAGGTCCCCCTGCGACAGCCAGGGTGTCTGGGGATCCCAGAGGGCCACACTCCAGGTCAGCAGGAAATGGTCCCCGGTCTTGCTGATCTGGGGGTCCTTGGGTGGGGGCGGCTGGACTGCAGGGAGGGAGCAGAGGACACGTGAGGGCCACGGGGGCCACCAGGGACGGGTCCCAGCCCAGAGCGGCCCAGCAGCACGGTGACCATGGGCAGGAGCCCTGGCCCTGTGGCCCTTCCTCTGCAGAAACATGGGGTGCAGTGAGCCATCTGGGGTCCGGGGCCGGCTGCTGTGCCCAGGGAGCCATCTCCAGTGCCCATCGGTCTGTTGGGGCCTCCTGGGTGACTCCACCAGAGGCTCCTGAGAGCCACGGCTGCTGGTCCCCCCCGACTGGGAGGCTCATTGCTGGGAGGTGACTTTCAAATACCAAACCTCATGAAGGTAAGTGGTGATGTCCCATGTGGACGGGGACCTGGTGCATGGGAGCAGGTCTGAGCTGGGACCTCGGAGGAGTCACCAAACCAGAATGTCAGGGCACAGCACAGAACCAGCCTGTGCCCAGCCCCAGCCAGGACGGGAACCCATGATGGAGGGCTGCGCTCCCCGCTCTGGGGCTGACAGGGAGTGGGGACCCCACCCAGGGCTCCAGCAGAGCAGCCAGGGAGCAGCCTGGGGACCAGTTACTCCCCTGGTCACCCCACCTCAGCGATGTTCCCCCTCCTGGTCCTTCCTCATATGGGGAAAGCGACAGAGGATGTGAAATGTCCAAGGTCTGTCCCGGGGGAGCCTTCTGTGCCAGGTGCACCCCTGTGCCCTCCCAGCCCCTGCCAGCCTGCCCGATCGGAGCCAGGGAGCTTCAGGCTGGAGCGAGGTCCCTACGGGCTGGACATTGACGCAACCTGTTTCCAAAGCCCCTGCACCTTTCCTGCAGGTCTTGGGTGGAGCCCAGGTCCCAGGCTCCCGAGGCGAACCCCGGCCTCTGTGTGACACCAGCCCTCACTTTGTCTCCTCTTGGCACCAACTCCCTGGAGCCACGGGTCTGAAGAGCTGCCCGCGTGTCCCTCAAGTGCACAGCAGACACAGCCTCACTGTGCAGAGCAGCCGCCTGCCCCCCAAGCCAGAGGGCGGCGTGAGCCCCACAGACCACAGCGTGGACCCCAGGACCCCTGCAAGGGCTCAGGGGACCACCTGGGTCTGCAGTGGAGGAAGCCCAGGGAAAGTGGACCGTCCCTGTCAGTGGTGACTCTGGTGCTGCCTAGGCCTCAGGGGCCTCCTCCCCAGCCAGGGCTGCTGTAGAGATGAGGGGCGGTGACGAGGACGGAGGGTCCTGTCAGCGAGGAGCTTCCTGTGAGCCTCAGGAAGGGCTCTGCCTGGAGGGAAGCCCTCGGGCGGGAGCCAGGGGCCTGCAGGTGGCAGGAGCAGCAGGCAGGGGAGGGTGGGCAGCGTCCTCACGTGGCACCTGCCCTGATGCCTCCACTGTGAGGACACCATCTCCTGTCCCCCCTGGACAGTGTCCAGCCCGTGGAGACTCCCTCCCTGGCCACCTCCTGTAGCCCGGTCACCCTGGTGCCCCTGTGTGGACAGGGGGCAGCCCCTCACCGTGCTGGGCCAGTGGCACCGAGAGCTGGATGCCCAGCGGCCGGTCTGGTTGGAAGAAGTAGTAGTCGTGGTCAGCGAGGGCAAATTCCTGGTAGGGAATGAGGCACTTTCTGTGTACACACTGGTGAGCTGGGCAGTCCCCCGAGGACATGTCCTTATTGATCTCACAGGACACTGGCTGTGGAAGATCCCTGTTAGGAGAGGACAGGGTCAGCCAACGTGCACTAGAATCATCCGTTCATCAAATGGATAAGGAAAATGTGGAACATATACACAATGGAATATTACTCAGCCATAAAGAAGAATGAGATTATGGCATTTGCTGGTCAACGGACGGAACTGGAGAGTATCATGTTAAGTGATAAGCCAATCCCCAAAAACCACAGGCCGAAGGTTCTCTCTGACGTGTGGCTGCTGACTCACATGATGGGCTGCGTAGAAGTACTTTGGATGTGACAAAGGGGAAGGAAGGGAAGGGAGAGGGGATGGGAGAGACAGTGGGATGAACTGGACATCACCTTCCTACATTCCTCTTTGAGTGTGCGGCCAGCGAAAGGCCACATTGTGTACAGCCACAGCCATGGGAGGTCACAGGCATCGATGGACGTGTCGACACCCACTCTACTGCCACCCAAAACAAGAACAAATAAAAAAGACTCATCCGTTGGTCAGGTATCACGGAGCGGCTGCCCTGTGCCGGGGTCGTCCAGGGCCAGGACTGTCATTGAAGACCCCAGGTCTGCCTGCACATAGCTGCCCTGGGGGCAGGGGCACAGGCTAGGCCACTGTTGACACAGCAGTAGGGACAACTTCATGTGGACAGCAAGAGCAGGGGACAAGAGGTCTAGGAGCTTCTGGGGTGGGGGCTGCAGTTCAAAGAAGGAGGGGACAGGTGACGTGTGGGTGGAGCCTCCTAAGGAGGTGGCCAGGAGAGCAGGCAAGTCCTGGGACACGGGGTTCTCGGGGTGGGGGCAGGGTCCGCCTGCAGTGCTGCCCGCTGGTGTCTAACAGTGCAGGGGCAGATGGCCTGGGCTGCAGACTGGCCAGTGACCCGACCACGCAGTGCTCACAAGAGGCCCAAGGAGGTCAGGACGATTAGGGACCGACCCCCTGTAAGGAGTAGAGTAGGGGAAATGGGACCAGGCCAGCCCACATGGGCCCTCTGCTTCCCCGGCTGTTAGTTGACTGAAGTTCACTCATTGAGTTCACGAGGCTGAGTGACAGACCGTGAGTCCCCACCAGCTTGGCTGCAGACGGTGACTGTGACCAAAGCTACCGGATGCGTCAAAACCCTTGTCCACCCGAGGCTGCCCTCTGCTCCTCCCCCGTCTCCTCTAAGTCGAACTTTTCCTGGGAAAAGAAACTAAAAAGACACGAGTCGCGAACTTCCCAATCGGTAGCCAGGACAGGACCCAGGACATGTAGTGACCCCCAGGTGACAGCAGCCTGTGTGTCAGGAAGGCAGAGCAGCCTGGAACTTAAGACCGCGCTGGGCGCCGACCCCAGGGCACCACTGCCCCCCAGTCCCTGCGGGAGCCTTGACATGGCCCCCGCCGGTCGGTCGCGATGGTCGTTCTTGGCCACAGCCGCCCGTCCTCCGGGTCCTTCCTCATCCCCTTCCCTGCTCCCCCTAACTCCTGCGCATGAGCCGCGGCCGTGAGCCAAGCAGGCCTGGGCCTGGCCAGGTCGGGAGTTTGGCTTCTCTGTGGGTCGGGGCGAATGTTGAGAGAGGGTGAAGGAAGGGGTGGCTGTTTGGATCAGGCTGTGACGGGACCTCGGGGCTGGCTGTGGATGGGGCGGGCTGGGGCCACCCAGCGGCTCCTGGACCGTCCCCATGACAGGAAGTGGTTTGGACGGGGAGGAGGGGGGGCACGGCCAGAATCAAGTGCTGTGTGAAGGACAATTTGACAGCATCTGCGGAGGGGTCCGGTGCCAGTGGGGAGGGAGGGGAGGGCAGATTCTAAAGCAGACCAAACCCCCCCTTGCTCAGGGTGGCCGCCGGCCCCACTCAGGGCAGGGAGACGAGGGAGAGGGGCAGGAGCGCCTTAGCGCAAGGGCCCCATGTGGACGGGACATCTGGAGTCAGGACACCTATTCCATGTGACAATGTGGAGAGGCAGGTGGCGGCCGTTAGCGAGGCCTGGGCGAGAGATTTCCATCTGAGAGGCGGTGCCCGCGGCCCAGGCCACATCTAAAGGTTGGCTCCAGACCTAAGAGAGGAGGCCCAGCCAGGCCCAGCTCAGCCTTTATGTGGAGATTTTTTAAAAAAGGAAGGAAGTAGAGGAAGAGACCAACAGGGGTGCATGGGGACATTGGGGACATGAGGGGTCTGAGTGACACGGCACTAAGTCAGGTGCCAGAGGAGTGACAAGGACACGGTGGTCGTCCAGAAGAGGTACGTCCCAGAGCCAGACAGAGAGAGGGTTGGGACCTTCCTAGCTCTGGAAGTGTTGCTCACTGCAGGTGGCAGGGTGGGGACAGCAGGATCCTGGGAAGGGGACTCATGGAGGAAGGACCAGGTAACTTTAGAGGAGAGCCACTGTGAGGGACAGAGGGGGGGGCTGGGGCTGCGGGGACAGGGACGCAGGGCCAGGAGCTGCGAGGGCTGCCGATGGCACAGGGGGTGGGGACGGTGGGGGCAGCCACGTCCTTGAGCAGTGAGACCTGAAGATCCAGGTCAGGGCTCAGAGTGGCTGGGACATGACTCCCTGCAGGGCCGGGGACACTGACCAGGCCAGGTCCAGGGAGGTGCAGGTGGGGGGAGCGGGGGCTCCCCTTCCAGGCTTCTGCTGTCTCAGGGGGGGAGGGGAGGGTGGCCCTGGGGGACAGGGGAAGGCGCATGGAGGACTCAGGACAGCAGCAGGGAACCCTGGAGGGGAGGCGTGGGGTGTGGAGAGATGGCTCCTTGGGACTCGCCCTTGACTGTGTCATTTGGGGCTGATTCAGATCCCCAACAGGCCAGAGTGAGGACAGCCACCCCCAGTGGCCTGCGCCCAGCAGCCATGGGACAGGGGCGGGGGACCCCTCATGGGGAGGTGGTGGGGCTGGGGACACTGCCTCTGTGCTGCCGCCTGTCCTGACCACCCTGTGGCCGGCCGGGGCCTCCCCTCCCTGGGCTCCGTCTCCTCCTCTGTGAACTGGGCCTGGTGTCCTTGCCCCGTCCACCTCCAGGGAGGAGGAACTAAGTCAGTGGTCACCATCACCTCCACCACCCCATTAGCATGGAAGGCTGTAAGCCCCCAGGACCCCAACATCAGACACCAGCGCTGGGCCCGGGGGTCCTGGGGCCACCCTCCTCCCTTGTCCTGTGAGTGGTCCAACCCGATGCTGACCGACACGCCCCTCTCCACTCCACAGCATGGAGGACAGCCACAGAGACAGGGTAGGTCCCACCTGTGTCCCGGCTCCCAGGGCCACTCACCCATTCACCCTGCGATGGAGGGTCAGGTTGAGCAGCCGCAGGGCGTCCTCCGTGTCCGCCCACCTGCAGACGATGCGGCTGGTGTAGTTGTTGTAGCAGCGCAGCGTCTTCAGCGGGATGGTTTCTGGTGGGCAGAGCAGGAGGGGTCACTGCTGTCCCCTCAGTGTCCCTTGTCACCACCCCAGCTCCTCGGGGATGTGCAGCCCTGGGGAGGGGTCTCCTGCCTTCCTGCAGAGGCCCTGGGCCTGTGTGGGCTGGGGGCTCTGAGGTGGGGACAGTCCCCTCCTGACAGGAGCACAGATGAGCTGGTTCTCAGCACATCAGGGACCTGCCTCGTGCTGCTCCAGGTCCCTCAGGACAGGGACCCGCCTCGTGCACAGGTCCTGTCCCCAACCCCAGGTGCACCAGGGAGGAGAGGCGGCCCTGGCCCAAGACACCACAGGCACTGCCCGGCCCTGGGCCCGCTGCCCCCTGCCCTCAGCCTGCCAGGCTGGGCGTGGAGAGGGACATGGCTCCTGGGGTCACCACAGAAGTCAAGTTCCCTGGGGGCTAAAGTGGGAGAGAACCCAGGACCCGGAGGCGGGACCCTGAGGCCACCAGAGGATGGAGGGTCTGTGAGGAGGGAGGGAGGACAGAGGGGGCTGGGCCAACCTGGAGGCAGGGCCTCGGGGGCCACGCTGAGAAACGTGGGCAGAGAAGTGACCATGCCTCAGCCAGGTTCTCCAGGAGGCCAGGAAAGGGGGGACGGGGACATGGGGACAGGGGCGGTGCCCAGGGAGGAGGAAGAGGACGGGCAGAAGAAATGAGGGAAGCCCAGGGAGGAGGGCCAGAGCCTGGTTCTGGGAGCTTCTGGGGTCCAGTGGGAGTGGCCCCCTCAGGGCCCAGAGTGAGGGGGAGGGGAGAGGGAGGGAGCCGTGTGACTCACCTTCTGCCCCTGTCACCCACTGGCCCCAGGGAGCCTGCAGGGCCAGGAGGAGCAGCCCCCAGGTCAGCGCCATCTCCCGGTCAGC